CCCTCACCCGCATGTAAGTCTCTGTGCGCTGACCTGGCGGGCCCATTGACCACTTTAAGTGGAAGCGTATTCACAAGAATACGTTTCTCTCTTCAGAAAGCATACTTTGCTTCTACTTCGCTGAAAATACGTTTTCTATATGCAACAAGCGTATTTCCTTAAAGGCGCTTTTTGTTTTTCAACCACCGCTGACGAAATCCCTAATTTGCGGGTATTCGTCCCTTAGCAGCAGAAAAGCACACTTTTTATTTGCTTTTCTGCATAACAAATGAACGGCCGTATCTCCGCAACTGTAACTCCTATTCAGGTGATTCAAAAGCCAACGTCATCTATTTGTCTAGCTAGTTCTGTTGGTATCATTTTCACTATGTTGTCACATTCTAAAAATGACCATTTTGACCTTGCCCTCTAATCAGCTCCGTCGAGAGAGAAAAATTTCTGGCAAATCTTTCTATGAATTCGTCGCGCTTCCCGGTAATTTCTTCATCCCAGGCAAGCCACAACACGCACTTGCATGATGGCCTTGCAATAGCCACGGTTTTCACTTTAATGATTAAATAATTGTGTGCTCATTTTTAGTGCAATGTATATGTTTGTGAATCCATGTTCATTTTTATGCCATGATCATTTGTATCTAGTTAAATGATTATTTGTCAAAGTTATTATTATCAAGTTTCATTCTTGCAATCTTCTCATATGCTAGTGATAATGATATGCTCAGAAGAATTATTATCGTCTATTATGAAAATACCTGTAACATGCCTGGTCATCACCATGCCATGCTCGTTTGCATCTCGCAGAATAAATGCTTTATTGTTGTTGATGCCATGATCCATATGTTAAATTGTTATGTTACCCATCCATGCAAATGTTGATATCATACTCCTATGCATTGGCATCTCATCTGGTTATTATATTCTGCTATGGCTCTCCTCATCACCATTCAATTTAGACTGGATATTAGTCGAACTTGAACAAATCTATTGGCTGAGTAATGGTGCCTCCGAATCGAGCTCACCAGTGCAACCACACTTGCCTGGATGGGGAGGCCCTAATTCGATCTATTATCATGCTTCTCACCGGTGCCTCCAACTAGGGAAGGTTATGCGCATGCTACCCTAGCCCGGTGGGTGACCATAACCTTGTGTGCCCAAGTTGTGTCGTACCTGGGTTGTCCCCGTTGGGGACCGTTTGTTTTTGTTTTTCCTTGATGGTGGCCGGCCACGAAGGTGGCAGATCTAAGCAGTTGGCATCCGGGCCACCCATGACATAACCCAAAGGGGAGTTTGTTGGAGTGGCCGGGAGAGTGTCATGCAATAGATTGGTTTTGTCGGAATGTCGTTGGTCCACCCGAATGGGAGAACGAGGCTATGAATTTCGTGGTATGAGTACATTGTAGTAACCTCTGTATAGTGTATAATCTATCAATAGCCGCAACCTCGGTCATGGGGACAGTTCGTAGTAGGTCACAGCGTGGGTCAATAGTAATAATAACGTGACTAATAAACAACCTCGATTACATGACAAAAGAAGTTGATTGATCTTCATGTGGTCACGAGGTGATCACGATTGTGTTATTGATGATGGTTGATTATGAGGTGATCTCGTGATGATCACGATGGTATTGTTGATATTGGTGACCTTGTGATGATCATGATGGTAAGTAATATTGGTACCGATGATGGTTACGAGGTAACCTCCGAGAAGCGTAAGTTGGTCTCTGAGACCTTAAACATCAAACGCCCTCTCATGCTAGTGCTATTATCATGATGTTCATATCATGAGTAACATGTTCATGCCATGCTCATCTCGTATTATTCTAGTTGTATCATGCTCATCATTGATTAACCTATAAATGCCATGTTGTTGTTCGTCTTGATTGCTTTGGTTGTTGTGAGCTTGTGAGTACATTCAAAGAACTCACCTGGCATGCCATGCCAGATTGCAAGTGATGCCGTTATTGATTTCTCGCCGAGGATCCCGAGTTTGCGCGCTAGGATGCATTCTATCCAGAGTCCCTATGGAGTGGAGTCCATCACCGTCGTCGTTGTACTGCTGCTAGAAGTTATTCCGCTACTACGAGTTGTTCTGCTGTTAGCATAGAACTACTTGAGCAGGCGTAGTGTCGCCGTGCCGATGATCCTTTGTATCGTCAGAACCCTTGTATCTATATCATTTGTAATAAAGAGTTGATTTGTCCTAAGCTAAGAAGTGTCGTATTCTTTAAGACTTGATCTCTAGGCTGAATACGGGGTGTTCTGGTCTCTTTGAGCTGGGGTGCCAAAAATTTATAGCATGAAATATAAACTCTTAACTATGAACACGAAAGTATACTAATATAATATTGTTGCCTCTAAGGCATATTTCCAACACCTCGCAGCCAAGGAACATTTCGAAGTGGGCGACGAACCCGGAAATATGCATGATCGAATTAGGGGTGAGATGGTGGAGTTGGATCCCGTAAAACTCTAACAAACCCCTGAGGAACGGGTGAATGGAGAAACCAAGACCTCACAGGATAAAGTTGACAAAACAAATTTGTTCTCCCTCGTGTGGTGTGGGATAAATGTCTGTGAGAACTTGGTCGTCTATAGACATTAAACCAGGGTGGGTGGATGCAAGATCTAAGTTGGGAAGATAACCTTGAGTAGCAAGCCGATCCAACTCCAGACGAGTGATGGAATAATTTTCCCAGTCACCCTTGAGTGGACTGTGAGGACGCGTTGACCAACCAGGGGCGCTAGCCATTGCTGGAACTTTTGAGCTAGCTTGGAGGGGAAGGCTTTGTATTTGGGAAAGATGGGGGAAATGATGGGGTAGACAAGTTACTGTGTCCCTAGCTGCTTAAATATCCCCTTAAACCGGGTGACAGTGGACATTTCGGTGTCGAGACAACAATTCGCTTGTTTCCTAGTTGTACAAAAATCGAGAAAAGTTATAAATAATGGGGGAGGGGACCATGAGTGGTGGGTCGCAGCAGTAATTCTCGATGTCAAACTTAGGATTACTTACAAAAAATTATTTCTTGGTCCAGAGTATGTTGATCCTGGGACTGTTATAAAGAGCATTGAGGATGTTTTGAAGACCTCGGATCTAAAGACAAACAGACAGAGGAGGAACTTGCCTCCCAAGCCGAAGACGTCGCGAAATAAGCCATTCCACGAGGGAGTTGTTGTCCTTGGCTTTGAAAACCAATTCAGGGGCTACTGAGGGTATCCTGGACTAAGGGGTATCAACCTGTACGACCTGCCATCCATTGGCCAGGCTGATGACCCGCTGATCACTGGAGGAAGGACTATCAAAGATGTGACCCTCGGCATGAGCAAGATGGAAACTTCCAAATACTTGACGTACACTTCAAGGAAAGTTCTAGTAGTCGGCGTGTTTATTCCTAGTTGGCAACCGACCATATGTGTAACCTAGATACCCTTGGTGCATATATAAGCCGAGGGGTTTAGTCTTTACGAACACAATAACACGCCTTAGAGTTTAGAACACAATCATTATCTCGAGGTAGATCATCTATGTACTCTGTACCCCATCGAATCAATACAACTAAAGCAGGATATAGGGTTTTACCTTTTCGAGAGGGCCCAAACCTGGGAAAACATCGTCTCCCTTGTTCCCTGTTACCATTATTCCTAGACCCTTAGCTCGGGACCCCCTATCCTGTATCTGCCGGTTTTAGCACCGATAATGGGGCGTAAGTCGAGCCACAGTCTTTGCACATTGTGGTCTGGCCGAACGGGGTGCTCTGCCATGTCCTCCTGTGCTTTGAGCATTGTGGTATGATGTCATTTGTCATGTCTGCCCCGCCTTTGATCCTCGCGGCCAGACCGTATCGATGATCGCACACTTCCATGGCTCGTCGATCGTTTGGTCCGTGCATCTGATAATTTATCGTAGGGGTGTGATTGAACATAACTGCTTGCAGACAATTACTGAAAAACGTCATTCAATTTTCTTGCCTCGGTTCTCAGTAGCATATGTTTTTGTCCATTTGCAGATTATTCGTAAAATATGTTACTCAGTTGTTCTACTTCTTGGCTCCATCTGGGCTTAGTTGACTGGTATTTGTACTATGTGGTCTGTCTCAAGACGCCTCAGTTGTTCTGAGTAGGAGTACTCGGTTCCGATGGTTCAGCCCTAGAGGGTGCAGTCGACCTTTTTATCGACTCGGCTCTTGGGATGACCTGGCCGGCTAGAGAAGAATAATCATTGTTGTCCGTTGTTGGTAAATATATAGGGAAGACACAAATACAATATGAAAATAACCACGATCAGACCATTTACGAGAAACATCCTTCCAATAGTTTACCTAATTGTATTGGTTGCTTTCCATCATGATTTATTTTCAATGGCATTTCCATCATAATAACGGGGACAAGTTGACCATATTTGAAAGGGGGTTAGTGGCATCTCGGGAATTGGCAAAATCGCTGATTCCAGCTTCCGCGCGCATACGAATTTCCTGAATCGAGGGCAGCTCGCATACGAATTTGGCTGTTTGTTTGTGAATCCGACTTTGTGTAGGCTAGAATACGGGAATCATAATTCGGAGCCCAAATAAAAGGCACCTTAGTACTCGTACTAGTCTACACTACTATAAAAAGAGCAAACTTTAACTTTTCTATGTCCACCAAAACTATTGTACACGGATCAACACACGCCCTTTGATTAAATCCACTTAATAAGATCTAAGCGTCCACTTTAGTTCAATGGTCTACCATATGATCAAATGGCTCAGATGCAATGTTCTGCCGAGCAGACTCCCCTCAGGCGAGACACTCACGTCCTGCCCACTAGCGTCGCAAATCACGAAGCAGCACCAAAACAGTTCCGTTCTTCAACCCCGAAACTTATGGCTCTTTCCATCGCGAGGCCCGTTCCCTTGCCGAGTTCTGAGTCTGAAACCCACGCCCTCCGAAGCCGCCTCTCCCCATCTCCGGCGCGCAGCGCGAGGCGCCTCGCCGGCATCGTCCAGGGCTCCAGGCTCACCAATGCCGCCTCCCCTCCATCCAACGTCGCTGTCCTTCATGGCATTCACCCTCCGCTCCCTCCAACACGCCGCGCGTCACGTCCATTTACAGCAAGATGCAAACGAACCGCCCATGTATGCTCCTGCTTCACGCTCGCCGGCGGTGGCGCAGCGGAGTTTGGCAAGGTCAACACCTAGCGGCACAGAATGGGGCTGTCGGAGGGTTAATGCGGGGCATCGTAGGTACATGGTGATCGATAGCCTCCGCATCTCCAATATCACGCTACTGAACACCTTCGCGGTGGCGGATTTCAGCGCTTTGCAGGAGAAGATCGTGCAGATCGGCTACAAGGATGTGATTAAGATCAATCTACCAGACTGTTTTTTAGGATGGTAGGGTACACTGCCAGTCTGGGGCGGATGTACTTGGTGAGTCCCTGCATCAGGGTAAACAATTTTGTTTAGTGCTAAGCATCAGGGTAAATAATTTTGTTTAGTGCTAACTAGCAGCTATAGTCTGCATGTGCATCATGTAATACAGGTCGCTGTTCATCAGGGTGAAGCTAATTTGTTGCAGGCTAGCAATCGATCCCTCAAGTTCTGCCAGAGCAGCACACGTTGATTGCTCAACAAGCTGGTGCAGACGCACGAATCCACGGACCACGGTTCGGCTGAGGCAGGGTGTAGTGCTGCAGTAGGCGGAAGCAACAAAGATCGTTTGTATGCTCTCTTGCTCTTATCCTTTTGACTTCAGAAATTAATCTAGATTTAGTTTGATTATTTGTGTTAACTTGATCAGCTGTCAGCTTTTAACTCTACCGGCCTGATGTGTCATACACTAAGGGTGTAGAAGATATCTGTACAACATATGTGAGTTAGTGACCACTTGATTGCAAAGTCCAAATGCTAATTAAGTAAAAAAAATTCTCGAGCCTATATGAAGTACAGATACAATTCTACTAAGTTCTCAGCTTAAAGAAAGGGAAATATGGGAGGTTGGAGGGGAAAAGATATCAGACATTTTCTCACTTGATGTGCATGATGCCAAAAACTATATTGAAAATTAATGCTAAATTTTGTTGGATTTCAGTAGAGGGTTCAATACATACTGGTGGACAAAATTGAGGTGAAACCTAACATGGTTCCAGTTGTATAAATAATATTTAATTATCTTTTACATATTTAGAATTTAGAGCACTTAATTTGTTTATTTATAGTGATACATTGCAATTATTTAGAAAGGTGGCCTATTTTCATGTGAACTTACCTGTTCTTTGCTATTCAGCATAATTTTTTATCTTCCCATTGTTGTGTTAATTGATTCATATGCAGTTCTGCTCTTTTGACAAGGATGTCCATCAAGTCCCGAGACAACTACTAATAGCTGGGAAAATGTTTTAGAGAATTTGTTTGGAGGTACATAATGAAACCTCATAAGTTCTACTTTGCCGATTCTTTCAGAGAATTGCTTCATTACTAATGCGCTGTAGCGGACACTATGAACTTATTTATACACGAATCACAAATTCTTTGAATGTGGCATCCGGGTTTGGCTACAGATGCAGACAAAATCACTCTGAAATCCTTCTCCATAATTGATTCTCAAACTACTCTCATGGCATGCTCCGAACCCCAAATATCGTGGGTACATGAAGTTCTGGTGTAATTTTCCCAGAAACAAGTGATCCAAGCAGCAAGGTATTGATTGATGCAACTCTGTTGTATTGTTTTGTTATTGTTTCAATGACTATTAATAAATTTTTATCAAGGATAACCAATTCAGATGATACCCAAGGAGTTCTGGATGGGAGATTTTTGATTTCTCTGTCATGCAATTCAACATTTTCAGTACTAAAAGTATTTTCATGTTATCTAAATTGAGGTACTCCCTTTGTAAATTAATATGAGGCATTTTAGGTCGCGAAAGTAGTCAACTAAAACATCTTGTATTAGTTACAGAGGGAGTACGTCTGGTCATACTGGATTGGATGTAGTTGGTCGTGGGGTTTGATTTGTGCATGGGAATACATGATGGGGGGCCGAGCATGGGCAGCAGCCGGCGGCGGATTTGGATGTGATGGTCGTGCCGAATAGTTATGACCATGATCTGTGTTGCTTGGTTTTGTGCCAATTTTGGTTCATGGTCTGAGTAACTCAAAAATCTCACATATGCAGAACATTCTACGAAATTATTCAATTTAGGTACCATATTGAGCCTGGTTAACATGAAAAATGTCTACCATGCATGACTGCACATTTCCGCTCTGACCTTACGTATTATGTTCATCATTTACTTTATTTATGTTGTATTTTAGTTTTCAAGCACATAACTTTATTACTCAAGATCTATTTTTATTTGCACTTCTTTTGAGTTGAGAATCAGTTTCTGTTGGAAGAAAACTGCAATAGATATGTTGCATTCCCCTTATTTTGGAAACTCGGGTGATTTTATGTGTACCATAGGTGCAAAATCAAATCTGGCATGGCTTGTTTCTATTGCATGTTCGTGGGTTTGATTTTGTAAGCTTTCCTCCTTTTATGTTTGCTTCTCCATCTAATATTCGTTAGGTTTATTCCAGGTTCATATAATTATGATGACTTGAAGGATATGATGTTCGACAACATATCCGAATCCTTCAATGCTGACTTTGAGGATGGTACCATTGGGGAGGTAATTATTTTTCCTTTTGTCATGTGAAGCCCAACTCTATTCTCTTAACCAGGTCCGGATCTTTGAGAGTATCCTTCATGATGAATATGGAGAAGTAATGAATATCCAAGTACTTGTTGTGGCTGAAAGGGTAAATCAGTTCACCCATTGTATTTGACTGTCACATTGGACCCGTGCTGGATGTCACTTTTGTCCTGGGCAAGTTACCTTATATTTATAACGCTTTGGTAGTCTAGACTGCAGTTTATATTGTCATTTTCAGAAAACTCTGTGCATATGTTTTTCGTTTATTTTAATTTCCATGCGCAACTAAATATTTTTTGTTTCAAACCTGCCAAGGGCAATGCCTACAAATTGTGGGTCTATGTCACAATTATATTTTTTCTTACTACCTCCGTCTAGGTGAATAAATCATTCGCGTAGTTCTAGGTCATCGATTTGAGCAATTAAATATGTGTTATATGTTATGAAAAGTACATCACTAGATTTCTATAAGGATGTAGTTTCTAAATATATATTTTTTGTCACATATAATACATATTTAGATAGTTAAATCGTCAACCTAGAACTACGCGAATGACTTATTCACCGAGACGGAGGTAGTACTTAATTTACTCATGAAGATTATGGCCGCTTCCCTACTACATTGTTGAGTGATGCAAATAAATCACATATGGTTGGAAGTTCTCCGATGATGATGAATATCGTTAATTCATAAAACCTGAACACAATTATCTATGCAATCTTGCAATGCATTTTTTTACTTTTTGTCAATGAAACTTGATTTTCTCAGTGATATATTTTAGTATTTTCCATGGAAATGATGGGAACCCTTGACTTGGATCAAGTGGTATATTTCATGTTTAATGATATTACTTTAGTGACAATAGCAAATTTCTTCATAATTCACCTGTGTATGTGCCTGCTTGTCCAGAATGGTGATGGACATATTTAAAATATTTAGGTTTTCCTTAAGGATATCTTGAATTATGAATAATTATGCACTTCACGTCAAAATTCCAAGATAGTTACCAAATATTTTAGTGAGAATGGTTTTGGTTCATATGTGTTAGGGTTTCCATATACTATGTTATGCTTAATTATTACTTCCTCCGTCCCATAATATAAAAACGTTTTTGACAACACCGTTGGTCCTCTTCCCAAATATTGAGCGGGAAGGGATCCAACACCGGTAAATTTGAAAGGGGCAGCTAGTGCAAGCTATCCTGACTAAAGGTGGTCTTCGCCTGTCAAAGGCGCTGGTGGTGAAACCATCTTGGGCTCCACGATGACCTCCGTCCTGCCGTCCTGCTGGTCTTGGTCTTGTTGCACCGATATAGAAACCTTTGCCTGATGCCTCGATACTCCACGCCTGCGCTTGCCCCCTTAGCACCAAAGGGGAAACAAGGGGACTGCGCGGGCTGGCGCCCGCCTGGCCTTGGTCGTCATGACTTGCGTCATAGGAACCTCGCGAGGTACCCCTTGCCTTGATCTCTCCGCCTCCCTCGCAAGCCTGCCTAGTGAGCTCCCAAGGGGGCCTTGTGTCGTCCGTCCCGCGAGGCTTGGCCCCTCGCAAGGGTCTTGAGTGTTAGTTGATGAAGACGGGCCGTACTGGGCCACTGGTGGAGCCACGCCGCAGGCTGCACGCAGGCAAGTCTAAGGACCCCCGTTCCTAGAACGCCGATAGTAGCCCCTGGGCCCAAGGCGCACTCGGACTTGGCTTAGCGGCGAAGACAAAGGGCAAGTGCGGAGTGCCCCGGGCCCCAACAGCCTGCGGTATTGGTCGACGCATGGCGACTGATTGGACATGGACGTCTCCGCTTCCCCATGCTGCCTCGGCAACATGCCCGACTTGACGAGTCCCTGCTGCTTGCAAAAAGGGTCATCATTACCTGCGATCGTGAAGGTCGACGGTTGGCCTCCCTTGGGCTATTAATGAGGGGGGCAAAAGCCCCCGTCTCCCATCTCTTCCCATTCCGCTCGCTTATCCTCCCTCGCTCTGTTGCTTGTTGTGTCCCCCATGGCGCCCGCGAAGAGGTTTTCGGCCGCGGAAAAGGGGAAGGCTCGCCAGGAAGGGCCTGGCTCTCCTCCGCCCAAGAGCAGACATGGTCGCCCTCGCAAGCACCCTGCGACCCCCGCCGTGGCTCTCCGCAGCCACGGCGGTGGCCCTTCACGTGGTGGGGGCTGCCCTTGTCGAGGCAGCCCGGTTGGTGGAGGAAGGCGTGATGTGGCTGCGCGGCCTCCCCGGCCGCGTTTCCACTCGGCGGAGGCGCTGCCGGAATTCGTAGTGTGGTCGGACAAACCGGCCGGCAACTGGCTTCATCTCCCGCGTTCCTTCGTCGACGAGCTGCCGGCCACCGGCCCAGGCGGGCTCTGGCTGCAGGGGGACGGCTGCTGCAGCAGGGCCTCCTGGGTCGCGATGGAGATCTCCATCGCCGGCAAGGCAGCCCTAGCTCGGGGCTGGCAGACGTTTGCCCGCGCGCGTGGTCTGGGCAGGCGGTGCACCCTCCACTTCAAGTATGATGGCGACACGAACCTCTACGTGAGGGTGTTTGGGGAAGATGGCCGCCGCATTGGGTGCTGCCCTAAAGATAACGACGGCGACGAGGTGCTCGGTCTTGGCAATGGTCGTGATGAGGGAGAAGGCGAACTTGCTCCCGGTGGCGACCGCGGCTCGTCAAGCTTCGGTGGCTCTTCCTCCGGTGGCAGCTCCTCCAGTGGCGGCTATGATCAACCGCCACGCCGCCATGCCCGCCTCGAAGGCGACAGCGGGTCGTCCCACCGCCGCGCTTCGGTGAAGCGCGAGGCAGGGTCTGGCTGAGCTCAGGAGGACGCCGTAGATCCTTCCTCGCGGACTGCTGCAGGGCGCATGCTGATTTTGTTTTATTTTTCTTCCTTCCTGCATTGAGAGAGACAAGTATGGGGCCCCGTGGGGGCGTGCAACAAACTATGATTCCCTAGTTAATATGTTGCATTTATTGTTCCTGTGCTGTCTCATGGCGCCGTTGTTATGCGTGTGCATGTAGGAACAACTTAGCTTGGCACGTTTGAAGTAGTTTCCGCCTCGCGAAGTGCCTGCTTCAGGCCTCGCCGAGCGCCTTCAGAGCTGCAAAAAACTCGTTGAGAGACTATCATTTTCCTAACCTTGGTCGCAAGGGCTGCCGGCCATGGCCCGATGCTTCGTGTCACTATGACCAAGGGGCACGGACTGAGAGGGATGCTCCTGCTACGAACTCAAACGAGAGAGCCTCGCGAAAATCAGAAGAGAGAGGGCTCACGAGGGTACCCGCACAACCCCCTTGCGATTCTTGCGAGAGAGAGCAAGTCAGACAAAGAGCTGAAGACAGAAAATGGAGGCAGAAGACGATGGAACAGAACCGGCAAAGAACACCAAAAGCAACTTTAATCAAGGTTCAAACAAGGAAGAGCGGGCCAACTGCAGAAAGCAAATGAAAATCCGCGTCCGGCACCTAGTCTAGTCTTCGACGTCTTCTCACCAGCACGGAGCTAAGTGCTGCCACTGGGCGTGGGATGGAGCCCCTGAGGCCCAAGGGCGGCACTCCCGAGACTCCGGGGCGTGTACAGCCCCACTCATTATTACGTGAGAGTGTCACGGGCGACGAGCTTCACAAGCACTGGGCCTTCTTCACAGGCACCGGGACTTTCTTTGGGCGGTGGGCTTCACAGACACCGGGCCTTTCTTCAGGGGTAAAACTTCCGGAGATGCTGGATGTTCCATGTGTTCAGGACGGGCACCCCATCCTGGGTCTCCAGGCGCGCGGCACCGGGCCTAGAGACATGGACGACCTTGAACGGGCCCTCCCACATGGGTGAGAGCTTATGCAGTCCTTCCCTGGAGAGCATCCGCCTCAGGACGAGGTCACCTACCTCGAGCGTTCTAGGGCGGATGTTGCGACAGTGCCGCCGCAGTGCCTGCTAGTATCTTGCCGCCCGTAGTGTGGCTTCACGGTGGCGCTCCTCCCCCAGCATGAGGTCCATCCCCCGCATGGCGTCCTACTGCGCCTCATCAAACTCTAGGACCCGCATGGAGCGACGCCTGACCTCATGAGGGAGAACCGCTTCTGCTCCATAGACGAGGAAGAACGGGGTCTTGCCCGTTGGCTTGGTGGCGGTAGTGCGGATGGACCACAACATGGACTGGAGTTCATCGTGCCAGCCCCTCCCGCAGGCCTCCAGCTTCTTCTTGAAGGTCCTGGTCTTGAGGCCCCTCAGGACCTCCATGTTGGCGCGTTCGGCCTGGCCGTTGCTCCGGGGGTGCGCCACCGAAGCATAGCAAATATGCGTTCCAAGGTTAGCACAATACGTTTTGAAGAGATTGCTGGTGAACTGCGAACCATTGTCGGTGATGATGCGGTTAGGGACCCCAAACCGGCTCACGAGGCCCTAGATAAACTTGACCGCAGAACCGGCTGGGATGGTGCGGACGACCTCCACCTCTGCCCACTTGGTGAACTTGTTGATGGCAACGTAGAGGTAGCGGTAGCCCCCAGGCGCTCGAGGGAATGGACCCAAGATATCCAGCCCCCAGACCGCGAACGACCACGAGAGCGGGATGGTTTGCAGGCCCTGAGCTGGCTGATGGTTCTGCTTGGCGTGGAATTGGCAAGCTTCGCAGGACTTCACCAGCTCGGTCGCGTAGTTGAGTGCCGTAGGCCAGTAGAACCCGCTGCAAAACGCCTTGCCGAATAGGATCTGTGAAGACGAGTGGTGTCCGCAATCTCCACCGGGTATGTCGGCCGGCAGCTCCTTCCCCTGTTCCTTGGAGATGCAACGCAGGGAAACATCCTTTGGCTGCTTCTGGTATAACTCACCGTCTTGAATGCAGTAGGCTATGGCTTGTCAGGCCACGCGCTCCGCATCCTGCTCCTTCTCCGGCAGCGTCCCTTGCGTCAGGTATTCCTTGAATTCCTTAGTCCAGCATCCCTCCTGAGGCTCCAGCGCCAGGAGTAGGTGTGCTCCCGAGGTCGGGCACAGGCCGGGGCTCCTGTGGCTGGTGGCTGGGGGAGTTCTTCCCGAGGCTGTGCCGTCCTTAAAAGTGGTGGTGCCACCGATGGCTTGAAGAGTTGTTCCTCGAAAATGCCAGGCTCCTGAGGCAGCCATTTGGAGGCCCTCCTAGCGATGTCATCAGCCTCTTGG